CTTCTAACATTTCAATTGGATTCATCTTACAGATTTTCACTTTTCATTGGCTTCTCAACATACCATCTGAGTGTATCACCTTCCCCAATATAAACCAAAGGCCTTGTTCTACTTTTATTAATTATTAACCAGACACATATATATATTTTAATTAATCACAATTGTATTTTAAAGAGACAGAACTGTCCTCAGTGTTTGCAATATTCTGGGACGTCTGGTCACTTTGGTAAATCTCAGGCTTCCTCAGATTGCAGAACCCTCAGCATATTTACAAATGTCTATAAAGTTTCTTAAATTTTATTTGATGACATTTACATCTCTTTTCCCCTTTAATAAAATGGTAAAGTACACTGTCATATCATGTAAGAGCTTGATGTACTGTATCTCTATTATGAACTTCTGGGCACAAAGCTTATAATATGGAAGAAACAAAGATAAATTCAAATAAATAGAGATATCCTATCTCCTAGAACTGAAAGGGACCTTGAAAGGTCATCAAGTCCAGCCCCTTACCTTCACTAGCAGGACCAAGTACTGATTTTGCCCCTGATTCCTAAGTAGCCCCCTCAAGGATTGAACTCAAAACCCTGGGTTTAAGCAGGTTAATGCTCAAACCACTGAGCTACCCCTCCCCCCAATTCAGAAACAATCTCTGCCATTTGCAGTCTTTTAAAGTCTTTGGCCTGAGTTACACCAAGGATTCTGGCCCCTTCTTGGATGTCTATGACATTATTACTAATAAATTCCATAATGTCTGTGCCATCATTACACTGTACAAGTCCTGGCTTTAAGCAAGCTACACTCTGACTACACCTTCTAAATCTGGGTCTGTTCCAGGGCCTACTGAAGTTAAAAGACAGTGTCCTTTTGACTGTAGTAAGTGCTTTGGAGAAATTCTACCACATTACATCTATTGCATGCTGTTCAGCCACAAATTAAATAATTCTGCAAATAACACAGTCAGGGATGTCGGGCAAGGCTTGTTTTCTCCAAACCCACATGCTGCTCCTGCCCATGACTCTATTAGCCTCTCCACAGAGATTCTGCTTTTATTCTTTGATTTGCCAGGATAGAAGTTAGACATAATGGACAGTAATTGCCACAATGTCAAGTGTAGTCAGGAAGAATGATCTTAAGGTTCACTCATTAGACTGGGACATAGAAAGTCAGGTTCAGTTCCTGCTTCTGCCACAGACGTCTTCTGTGATGTCGGACAAGTCACTTCATCTCTCTGGGGCCCTGTTCTTTATCTGTAAAAGGAGGATAATTATATTATCTTTGTCTGTCTTGTCAATCTTGATAGCAAGCTCTTTGTGGAAGGGACTTTCATTTACAATGTACAATGCCTAGCACAATGGGGCTCTTATCAAGTCTGGTGCCTCTAAACATTGTAATAATAATAATAATTAATAGTTAATTAATAATAATAGAAGAAGAAGAAATAGTTGAAAACAGTGTTTTAACATAAAGGACTCTGGAGCTGCACAGAAATCAATCCTTGAGCAGAAGAAGCTGCATGCTGGCAGGCCCTTGGGAGAGGCCCACAGAACAAACTCTCACAAGAACAATGCAGTTATCACCTAACTGTACCCACTGTGTTTGGAACGGGCTGGGATTCATTGATTGTGCCCCCAAAGTCAGCATGAGATATAATTAAAGGCTCGTCTTCATTGCTAAAAGAGTTGTATCTTACCTCAGGGTAGCTAAGGCACATGAGCTATTTCAAGGTAAAAACACAGAGAAGCCAAAACACTTTCATTTTACTGTGAGATAAACTCAACAAGGTCAAGGATAATTTAGATGGAGTACATGGGCCCAAAGAGACAAAGGTATTAACATGACCCAGCAACTGTTCAATATGTAACACTGTTAAACAAAGTTTGAGATTTGGTATAGAGAGATCACAGCCTACTTAGGACCATGACAAGCACACCATTATTATTTTATTTTTATTATATTATTTATTATTTATATTATTAAAGATACTGAAAAGAAGGAAAAACAGTTAAAATATTTGAAATGTAAAGCACTAAGTAAAGATTCCATTTTAACAACATCCCTTGTTCCCTTTCCATTTAGATGGAGAAAGTCTTTAGAAAGGAAATAAAAACATTTGTTTGACAGTCTCTTCAATGGTAGTAAAGCTGGAAAAAACTGCTCTTTTGGGGAAAGCAGAAGTTAGTTGAGATGAGCTGGAGCTGTCATTGTTACTGTTGTTAAATTCCAATCTCTTTTCCTCAAAAAAGACAAGCACATGCAAGATGGAAAAAACAAAGAAGTGTAAGGCTAAAAACGGTAGTCTCTGGTGTACACTTTCACTTGACGCTACGTTGCTAGAGAAACATAGACAAAACACATGGTCTCATCAGCAACTCAGAGACTTGGCAATGTTATAGCACCTCAGGCTGTTTAGGTCATTGATTTACTGCCACTTTCTAGTCACATACTCAGAGCTGTGTTGCAAAATATTCGGTCTTGACAGGCTAAGCCAGATGCTTATTAAACAGATGGTAAACGAGGGCTAGGAAAGAGAAAAAATAAAGTAGGGAAGGAAAAAAACACGGAGGTGGGGGTGACAACATCTTTTATCCCAAGTGATGGCTGGGATTTAGCTGGAGCTGGTGGAGATGGTGATGTCACCTGAGTCACTCTCTCTAGCCTGGTCTGGTGAAAACATCTCTCAGGATAAGACGAAGAAGGAACAATGGTGTCATGCTAGAACCCAGGGTTCCAGGAGATGGTGGGGGTAGGCAGCCAAGATAGGAAAGCTTGCTGCAGTGGCTGTTGGCAGAAACTGGTTTTTCTTCAGCAAATTTTCCTCAAAAGTTTTTGCCTTTTAAAAATCCCAATATAGTGATGGGTGGAGTAGCTCATCCCCTTATTATTTTGTCCACCAATTAGACGTAGCTTCCAACACACCAATTTCAGTTCATGGATTTCTGGTCCAACACTTCTTTTGTTTACCAAGCATGATCTTAACACAATCCTTGAGTTATATCAAATGGTCTTTTTGTTTGGAGTAATTCAGTCACTGTCTATCTCCCTTTTACACCTTTTCCCATCAACATTTATTGTTATATGTTATTGTGACACTATGAACTTTCCCTACGTTATGGAGTAGAGTTCACAGTTAAGGTACACTTGTAGGCCCAATTAAGACAACCGGTTGACCTTGCCAAAGGAACTTTGTGGTCAAAGTATATTGCCTTGTGTTCACAGTGTTTTACCTTGGGGTAGCTCACATGCATTAATTACCCCAATCTAAAAAAATACTCAGCTTTTTTAGCAATCAACATGAACCCCTAGGAAAGACATCAGTCACCCGATTTTCAGCTGACACAACCAGGGCCTGAAATTTCTCCTGAGTCCTCACCCCATGGACAAGCCCCTAACTCCCACCTCCTAGCTATCAAACCGTCCCTAACCCTAAGAAAGGATTCAAATACTTCCCACTGCCCAGACCCTCATATCCCCCCCCACCATGCCCTCCTAATGTTCAGTTCGATGGGGGGGTTGAGAAGTTCTGTACATCTGTGGAAGGGAGAGATTAAGGTCTCCTTATTAAGGGAGGGGGAATCTAGATACATTCCTCAAATGCCTTTTACTTAACCCCTGGCTGTTAGTCCTGTGTGCTTACCACAAGACCGAAGTGACTAAGGAAAGCTGGTCCTCTATATGGAATAACAACCTTACAATAGGAACCAGCCTGCTGAACTTTAGAGACAGTGCAACAAAGAGAATCATGGAGAGACATATCTTCTGCCTAGTTAAGTCTGGGATGAGATTTTCCATTTGGAGCTCACACTGCTAAACTTCTTGTAAATGATCTAACAGCAGCAGTTAATTTCCGAGCACTGTTGAGGCAGGATCGGGTAAGGTGTTTAACATTTGAGATTGAAACAGCACAGACATTTCTGTTTTGTAAACTTGTTCTAACCTCTTTTGTGGAATGTCATGGGCCCAATTCTGATCTCTCTTATGCCAATTTAGCACCAGTACACCTACGATGCAAGAGTAATGGGAAGCAGAACTCATAGATTTATCGATGCATGGATTCTAAGGTCTGAAAGGTCCATTGTGATAATCTAGTCTGACTTCCTGTATAATCAGAGCTGTAATTAGGTATTTCGCACCCAGGGGGCGACCAAACATATTTGCGCTCCCCGTAGCAGTTTTTTTCATCATTTTTCCACCCCATTTTTCCGCCCCTGTGGCTTTCAGCTGTGGGCAGCTGCCCCGCTTGCCTTGCCCTGGTTACAGCTCTGTGTATAATGCAGGCCATAGAATTTCCCCAAAATAATTCTTAGAGCTGATCATTTAGAAAACATCCAATCTAGATTTAAAAATTGCCCGTGATGGAGAATCTGCCACGACCCTGGGTAAATTGTTCCAGTGGTTAATTACTCTCAACTTTAAAAACTATATTTCCAATTTGAATTCGTCTGACTTCAACTTCTTTCCATTGGATTCTGTTATAACTTTGTCTGCGAGATTGAAGATCCCATTATTAATTATTTGTTCCCCATGTAGGTACTTATAGATTGTAATCGAGTCACCACTTTGCCCCTTAACTTTGCCCCTCAACCCTTAAAGCAGCTTGGCCTGATTTCCTCTGTTCTCTTCTGTGCGGACTTGTTTGGGGGAATGTCTCAGTCTCCTTGAGGTCCCACCTGCGCAGTGAAATGTTTGGAGGATTTGTGCTGTCATTTTCATTCCTGCAAGAGAACCTGCTGCACATGGCCATGTCTGGAAGTTCTGCCACAAGTGAAGGGGAACTGGTGATGGGAAAGTTTCAGAGCAGAGGGAAGGTTGAGGTACTGAGGTGAACATACACCACACAATCAAATTGTAACTGGACCCAACGCCTCTAACAACAGCACAAACCAAAATGGATTTGTGAAAGGTGAATGGAATAGGTAAAGATTATCTATGTGAGCTCACTGAAACATAAACATATGTATGTTCCCCAGTCTCAGAACACCCTTGGTGGATTTAACATACAATAGTGACCCTTTATTTTATTTATTTCTAATTTTAAGAGGAAAAAAGAAATTGATTTTTATGGAAAATAAAAAGCTAAAGAGCCCCTGCACACCACTCACGTTCCAACAATACCCAACCACAACAAGTTACTTTTATTAAAAGGAGAATAACAAGTCATTATGAGTAATTAGGGCTCCCTTGTGGGTTTTCTCCAGGTCACAAGATTCTTTACAGCCCAGATGAAAAGGCTCCGACGATTTCAGAAGCAAGGCATCCTCTGCCAGATTCCCAGAGATCCTGCATTCAGAATCTCTGGAGCCATCAGTTAATCTTAGTGCTGCAAAAATGAAAGAAACTCTTAGATTCTGTATTTATAGCCATTAAAAAAGGAAAATATGACATTTACTTTCAAATCAAAGGCACAGCAGGAATTTGTCCATCACTGAATGGTGAGTACAGATATTCCTGGTTAACACCAGAACAGGTGTTTTCTGTATTTTACATTCTGCTACAGAGTTTTAATGAGGATTGTCAGATATATCTAAACATGTGAATAGGCTGCCTCTCTGGCCTACCTGGTAAATAAACCAGGTATCTGAACATGGATCTCCCCTCCCTTTACCCCTTACTTTCTAGCAAAAGCAGATTCTCAATTTTATTTAAAAATTCCTGACTATTAACATTCTACACAGTTAAAGCAACAACCAGAAAAAATAAATTCATCTGGGACATTTAAAAAACCCATCAAATTAAATATTGGAACTGCTGTAAAGATGCAACAATTTTTTCATTGAAATTTTCATCAAAATTAAAAAGACTAATTTTGTTACCTATAGAAAAATAAAACAAAAATGCATAAAGTCTCACATCCACATACAGTATTTCTGACAAATGCACCTTTGTCTATTGCAAAATTTAAAGAACAAATACTTATTTACATGATCAATGTTATTCCTCAGAGGGCACAGAAATTCCAGTTCTGCCTCCCAGCTCACGTAAGCCCAAAGCCTGACCGTGCTGGTGGCCGTTCCATGCTAGCAACTCTGAGAATGCTCAGTGAACTAGCCAGGAGAGCAGCACTGCAGTTGCTCGCATGTAGCTCCCCGCAAGTTAACTCCATGTTTTTTTTTTGTGGCTGGGAAGATCTCTCACAACACTCTACTGCTTCTGTGGGTCCTGTCCCTCCTGCAACATTAATTTCAGCATGCTGACCTCCTGTATAACACAGGCTTTAGAGTTTTCCCAAAATAATATCTAAAGCATATTTTTTTTAGAAAAACATCCAGTCTTGATTTAAACATTGTCAGTGATGGAGAATCCTTCATGATACTTGATACATTTTTCCAGTGGTTAATTACCATCACCAACAATGTCCCCCTTATTTCCAGTCTGAGTTCTCTAGATTCAACTTCCAGCTTTTGGACCATGTTATACTGCTGCCTGCTAGATTGAAGAGCCCATTATTAAATATTTATTCCCATGTATATACTTATAGACTGTAATCAAGTTACCCCTTAATCTTCTCTTTGATAAACTAAATAGATTGATCTCCTAGAGTCTATCACTATAAGCTATGCTTCCTAATATTTTCATTATTCTTGTGGCTCTTCTCTGAACCCTTTCCAATTTATCATTATCCTTTGTGAATTTTGGGCACAAGAGGCAGACACAGGACTCCAGCAACAGGCAAACCAGTGCCAAATACAGAGGTTAAATAACCTCTCTACTCCTACTTGAGATTCTCATGTTTATTCAT